ACATTGGTTGCTTTGCTTTTGTCTCTAGAAGTGTTGCGGACAAAAGCAAAGCAACAAACTTGCAAAGGAACCGATCCTACGCACCACTGAGCTATTACGCTTCATAACTCCGTTCGGAGAGCCGTTTAGCAGATTTGGAAGGCAGATTTGGAATCAGCGTCTAGAGACGCATCAGGTGGTACATCTCATTTTATACGGCCACTTCGACCTACCATCCTTTCCTTGTTAGCTGCGAAAAAGAGGCAAGGGAAGGAAGAGAAGTTCGGATGTGGCACGATGGCGAGACAGGGCGTCAAAGAAGACAAAATACGCGAGAGAGCACGTCGTTTGAGAGAGCACGCTGATCTATCAATGCACGCTGATCTCACCATTTTCGCGGTGGGTGGGAAGCGTTGGAATGGGGTCGATGGTTGCAGGCCCCGTAAGGATTAACCACGTAACTTTTGCGACGAAGCTGGTGTGATCTAGAAACCTCACAACTTTCCTCGTGGTATCCCTCCTATTAGTTGAGATAATCCCTGGGTTTGCCTTCAAGGAATTATGTAGCAGCGTCAGGCTGAAGTACACGCAAGGTCTCCTTGCGCTCCGACAGATTACGTCATATTCGGAAGACGGTAAGGGCCTTGAGGGTGGAATTGCGTCTTCTCACAGAGGAACATAAGACAGTGAGGAATATTGCGAAAAAAATCCTGATGTGCGGCATTGGCAAAATTTCCTTTTTTGTTGTTCGCTTTTTTGCCTCATCCCCTCCCCTCCCGTACAACTGATCGAGTTCACAAAGAAAGTCAATCATAATGAGATGTGTAGCTGTATGCTTTGTTAAGCCGAGTGCAAGTCTGTTTTCGTTATCTGTGGAAAGAAATATTGAGAAAAGGTATGAAGCAGGAAAGCGCAGCGGTAGTGACCGTGATTCACATGAAAAATACACCAGGATCTACTCCTAGAGAGGTCCGTTCTTTCATTCTTTCCGAAAGTTTTTATTAGGTCGGTCCATAATTTTTGAGAACCTTTGGTGTTTTTCGATTTAATTACTTATCTTATTTCTCTGATGTACTTATTCAGCATAGTATACATCACCATTATTACCAACATATCACCAATGCGAGGGTGGGTATTCAGTGTCTCTCTTGTAGAATTTCATAGAGTTCTGATCGAAGAAATATTGGATGTCGATTTTGACTTTATGGTGATTCAAGTGAGATTTCTTCTCCAGAAGGTGATTGAGAGAGGAGAGCGGATAGTCGTTCGTTGACGCAGGATTAGTGCTACAAGGCGGAGCTAAAAGAACTGACCGCCCGAGAGTCTCCAATTTTTTAGGAATTTTCTTAGCAAGGCGGGCTCGAACGACCTCAGAAAAAAATAGATTTTGTCTTCCTTTGCTTTCAAGTTGAAGGCGTTGCCATCAAGCTGTCAACGATTCTTCCCATCACTGACACTGGTATTAGTTGATGCCTCAGCGCAAAGGCCCTCCCGTATTGCGCCAACGACTCAGGAAGTTCGAATTCAGAGGGAGTTGGGTTTTTACTGTCAGAACTCCCGAATCGTTTAAGCAAATCTACTGCGGCTCGTGGATTTGTTAGCACACTGCACCCAGTCCACATCACCAATGAGTATTATAGATGGTCATCCGAAGGAACTATGGGAAACCAACAGGAACTTGATGATGTCAGATTGGGTTGAGAACTGATTCGGGACTACAATTTTCCTTCGATCAGAACTCTATGAAAGTCCACAAGAGAGGCACTGAATACCCACCCTCGCATTGGTGATATGTTGTTAATAATAATGATGTATACTATGCTGGATAAGTAGATCAGAGAAATAAGATAAGTAATAAATCGAAAAACACCAAAGGTTCTCAAAAATTGTGGACCGACCTAATACAAGGCGGAGTTAACGCTGAAAAGGTAGCCCATTAAGGACCAAGAAAGAGGTGGGCGGTGATGTAGTGACGAGGTGAAAATTTAAAAACGTCCTGGAACCCCATAAATGCGCCTAATTTTTCTTCGTTGATTTGGGCGCTAGTCAATTTCATCGATGGTTACCTCATTACCGTTAAACTCCCTCCTAGAGCGGCTACAGTCAAGCGGGGGGGGGCGGTTAGTCGCAGGTACAGCCCTGCTGGGCCACAGGAGACATACCTTTCGCTGCGAAACGCTCATCATCTTATACCCTTACGAGGTCCGCCTGCCTCCAGTATTTATAACTCACCTCCGACCTTATCGCGGAATCCTCTATTGAGAAAGACTTAACGTACTTCTGAAATTAGCATAGGTAAGGTTCGCACTGCAATTGATCCCACGAGTCAAGGCCACAACAGCTTTCTTCCTTCATGAATTTTTGCAAGAGGTCGTTGCACAGCTATCAAAAGCAAATCTAAGCACAGCTTCTCGCAGCACATAAAAAAATACATGTCTTATTTCAGATTTTCTAAATTTCATTCCAATTTTTTCTGATTAAATGACTTTCTCCTGTCAGTGAGCGAGCAATAAAACCGATAAATTCGCTTTGAAGTGTTGCGACTTTCTTCCCAATCTATTACACCATTCGTACTTTTTGAGCTTGAAGGAATCTTCCCCAGAAAATTCTTGCATATTCAGCAAGGTGGGATCACCAGAGATAACATACAAAGCTTCACGCAAGACGAGTTAGTTCCCAAAAAGAAACGAAATTACGAAAGCCACACACACTCTAGAGACGAACGCTCGAAGGTAGGTTGTGCAGAAATAAGGAAATGTATGGAAAGAATGCGCGTGCACTTCTTCTATTTCATATCATCTAGGAATAAAATCTGTACATAGTAAATATCTGAGAATTCCCGTAGACACACGCGATCTCGCACTTCTCAGTAAACTCTCGCTTTGTTCTGCTGATCGTCCTTCTCCCCGCGACCGCAACGACTTTCCATCGATAAAGTCTATCTACAGATGACCTTGTAGCATTTCAGGCTATTCAAGCTATTAAGAGAGCCGTTCAAGATGGAAGCGGATTTACTGCATACAACTCTGTGTCTGTTCTCAATTCCACCTTTGACGTGATCAAAAGAGGTTTGCTTCTAAATTAAAAATATTTTTACGCTCCAGAAACCCTTCGTAATACGCCACGCATTCTGGTTTCATAGAGATTAGAACGAGATTCGGGTGCGTATCTGCCCTATACACATCATTACGAGGCAGACGGTTTTCAAACGCCGTTTTTATCCCACCAAATTTTTGGGAGATGTGGCCGTGTGTCGAAATGGGGGACTTCTTTAGTCTGACTGGATCCACCGACCATAATTGTGCTGGTCACCACTCCTTACCGCCTTCCCGTAAACCAGTCAGTTTTTAGATAGTGAATAAACTGTAATGGCTCATCTGAATAGAGAACGTATCAGGTACCTGATGACTTCCCGGCTTTCAGATCTCAGCGGTGATGGAAATGCAAGGAAAGTAATTATCACCATTGATCGGTCGTATCAAACCGTTGTCGGCAATGACTCGACTACTTTGGCGAGCAAATGGTCTGAGTCAATCGCTTCCATGTTGAGAGTGTCAAATTATCGTTTCAAAAACGCACACATTCACATGGGTATTGATCGCTTTCTTTCTTATTATTGTGCAATTTTTTATGAGATATTCTGAGGTAATGTTTAAGGAATTGTTTTCAATCTAACAATAACCCTTCCATTCGAAGGTGAGACTGATCCCTTGCCAGCTGAAGAGATTGCAATGATGATGATGGTGAGGACATCCTTTCTTTCAAGATCTTTAGTCTCATCAGCCTTCGCGTGTATGTCATCACTTTTTCACCGTGTTTCAGGAATGTTCTGAGTATCAAGAATTCGACTTGCAATCAATACAAGGACTTGAGCTACCAGTTCAAGCTATTACTAATAACGACATCGTTGAATTGATTGTGATTCGCAGTGCGTTTCAGCCTTTTGAATAGAAATCTTGAAACAGCTTCAAGGGTTGTATGCGCTACAGACCATGTCTATGGAACCATATTCGGAATTGACCACTGGTATTGAGTAACGAGTAAAGAAAGGAAAAACAAAAAGGCTAGAGGACGGTTGCGCTCAAAAGTGTTTTTCGGCCGTAACTTTTTTCTACTCGATCAAATCAGTTCCAATTTTGATATATTTCGAAGACGGTCCTTTCTCATAAAATTGGAATACTCTTATGCAATAGGAGGGAGAGTGAACAATGAAAAAATAACTGACTTGAATTTCCCTCGTATGACCATATTGTAAGTAAATTTGAAGTTATTCTAAAAATCTTATAATCCAGCAGCTCAGTCAAGCGCCTGATGAATAAACCAAGCAAATCTAATATTTGTCATTAGTTAATGAACTTACTCTTTTCTGGGACACCTTCCTCCATTTTTCTTTAATCTTGACGAATTTTTTCCCATGTTCCCGATTCTCTTTTTCTGTCAAAGTTTTCCACATGCTTTTCCATAGTGTCCTCACGACGCCCAGCACTTGGCCTGAATTACTTTCTCCATTAAAAACACGCCATGCTGTCGACATTACTTCTGCACCGTTGAGGCGAAATGCTCTGGGTCAATCTTTTGTAAGGGAACGAACTTAGTCCCACACATGTGCCATGGTTGCGGATGTGGATTTCACCACTTCTTGAATTTTGTGCACTGATCCCATTTCTTTGAGGGGCTATCATAACCGAGCCTCCGCTTTGTTTCATTGATAGCTGGTCGCTACTTTGGATCGGATCGTTCCAGCCAAACATACCTTGTGCTGTCTCCGCCATACATAATCAATTCACGTTGTAGCCGTGCGAGAACGTCTTGTTCAGATGTGTGCAGAACCACCTCATTCCCTCTGACTTCGCATCGAACAACTTCTCAGATTCGAGAAGTGGAGCATGCAGACGTGACGTTTTGACTTCAAAAGGAGTCGCGTATCCACTTTGCGGCATCCACGCGGTAATGAGTTTGCTTTCTACTAATACATTGACAGAGCACCACTGCTGTGCAAGAGTGGTTTCGACTGCATGGCGTGTTTTTGACGCGGAACCGATTCAGACGCAAGTACTGGACAACGTCGATACATCGGAAAAAGGTGTAGAAATCTCAGGCAGAAAAGAGTGTCAGGAACATGGATGAGAAAATCGTCAAATTCAAAGAGAAATGTAGGAAGGTGTCTCAAAAGCGGATTCCTTTACTGATTTCACACTTTAACCGTATTGAGGCCTCAGCGACTCTAGAAGGTTATTTGCAAAGTATTAGGTCTGCTTGATGTTGAAGCGTTAGATTTTTTTGTTGGGTTGTAACTTCTTTAGAATAATTTGCCATCCAACTTGCAATTTTATCATGCATGGGGAATTTCAGTGAAATACTTTTTTTTTCTTTCTCCATTCTCCTTCCTATCAAACGCGCATATGCTGCTTTTGTGAGGAAATTGTCTTGAGAAGGTCTGAGAATTCGAACTAATTTGATTCAGCAGAAAGAAAGTTATGCCCGAAAAAGTATTTGGCCAAATAGTTTTGAGCGCCACTGTATACCCAAGAAACATCTGGAAGAAATCATCCTTCCACTATTTATTTCGAAGGAACTCAAAAGTAGCTGATGTGCTGTCCTTGTATTCACATCTACTCCTTGTTCACGACTACATTTGTTAGAATGAAATCAAGGCTGCGATCTTATTTATACATTTGAACCAATGTTCCATAACTAACTATGCGCTTGTGTATTGTAACCATCAGAAGATGTAGAAAGCTTCAAAGCTTGTGGCAACATTAGTTCGTGGCTTAACTACGCCTAGGGCGTTTGCCATTGCGTGAGCTCAGCAGGCAGTCCCTCCCTACGGGCTACATCGGATGCATCAGGCAATGTCTGGCTATAACGTAGTTTGTCGTGAGCTCTACTATTGAGTAATATTACCAGTAAGGGCCTGACCTGAAGTATGTTATAGAAATAGTATTATTCAGAATGCTCACGACGCAAGATGGGATCCACATGTGCTGAGTTTGCTAGCGAAAGTTATGTATGGTTTCCTCACTACCGGAACTCCACAGACCTCCCTCACAATCAGGGTAATAAACGGTCGAGGCTCTGTACTGTGTGGAGAGTAGTGCCGAGAGTGAACATACCCGCGGAGAGCACAGACGGCTCGCGCATGGCGAGTGTGAATGTCCGCGCGGGAGAGCGTAACTGATCGGCGAAAATCCTCGACGTGCCGTTGAGGAATCCTCGACCGATATTCACCCTTATCACGATCTGTATTGTAGTGCATATAATAATATTATAATTTGCCACCACATGTATCACTAATCGTCCCGTGGTTCAACAAGTCCCCCGAGAAGGTGTCAGTAACATTCCATTCGTACCTGTCGCATGCCGAAGGATTCTATAGGGTCCTCCTAGCGTGAAGGACACGAAGGTACTCATTCCTCTCGAAAAATCTGATCTTTGAGCGGTTGCGCCCGCGTAAAGAGCGCCGACTTCCCGAGGGTTCCAGTGGTCCAACGTCATTGCAAAATAACATGACTTAACAGTCACCTAATATTCGATTCCTATACTAAAACTACAGGCGACGTAGATCGGAACTCCGGATCCGGTGCATCTGCGTGTACCGGACACAAGCATCGTCCTCCTCCTTGATAACGCTGACGCACCCCTCTAACCAGGAACGGATGGTTGGTCGAAGTGGCCATATGTAAAGAGACCTACACCGGTGGATGCGTTTTTGGACGCTGATCTCGAATCTGCTTTCCAAATCTGCCAAACGATTTTCCGAATGGAAGAAAAAGTAGTGCAGCGGTAGTAGTCCGGGTTCACGTGCGAGACGTCGTAGGATCGATTCCCTGGCGGGTTCTCTTTTTTGCCTTCGCTGCAAAATGATTGAAAAGGCTCCCAACTACCTTACTCGATCAATGCTTGCCTGTAGTTACCCGTGCAAAGACTTTGCGAGGAGTTTCTAATCAGTTTCGGCGGTACTTACTAAAGACTGCACATGGAGCCCACAGAACTCTTGGCAGACGTTTTTGCAGCAAACAAGTGTGATATTCGTGTTCCGGAGATTAAAATACCCCTAGGGACAAGTTTGTAGCCAAATTTGAGATTTCGACCAAATTTCGAAATAAGCTGGGTGGGTATCTATCCATTCATCCATCAGCCTATCATCGAAGCCTATATAGCCTTGAGACGATATAAGTTTTTTTGGTTTCTGAAGAGTGTAAAGCAGTGTCTGGTTTTCTGTTCGCATGATTTCAACACCCACATTTTATTATTTTCAAATTTAAAGGGTCGCCGTCGTCCAAAATAGGTCAACCCTGGAACTACCGGCTATGGATATGTAGCATCAATGAGTGACTCGCCCACTTTTTTTGAAGTTAATTCAAAATCTCGAATTTTTCTAGAAATTGGCCCCAGGAGTTATTGGACTACTTGAACACAGATCTCACATTCGTTCACTCAAAAACGGCTGAAGCGCGCGCTCCGTATACTGGCGCGCCTTAACCTTATGTAGTGGCATGCAAGTTAGGAAAAATTTCGAAGTTATCGACCTCAAACTCATCCAAAAGCAAGTAGGGCTGACCAATGATGAAGGAATCATGTTTCACTACTGCCAAATAGTCAGTCACAAAAATGCAAAAGGAAAAACACGCGGCGGATCCGAACCACTGACCCCGAAATCCCAAGCCCACCACCTTAACCACTAGGCCACCAGCACCGATCGAGGCTCACTGCTTCGTTCACAAGCCGCTGCTGCTGAGGCCGATTCCTCACTGTGTTAAACTGTGTGAGGGAACAAAAACCTCCGTAACTCCGTTCAGCGAATCGTTTGGCAGATATGGGAAGTAGACAGAATCATAGCTAATCCTACATATTTTATCGAATTTGCGCAAACTTTCTTTTCTATTTCAGAATTCAACACTCTGGTAACAGTACTTGTAATAGTGATATCAACTGTTCTCGGATTATTTCTGCTGTACACTGGAGGAGCAATCATTGCAAAAGTGAAGACCGATCGACTTCTTGAGGAAGTGGGTTGTGCAGGATACCTTACGTATGTTACGAGTTCGTCAAGTCTTTATACAAGGACCGGCTCTTCGACAACCTCCAACATTTGTATGACTGTACCTATTCTCGAACGAGTTAGTCTCGAAACAGTTAAATAGAAAGAAGCTATCGTATTGCCACAATTCCTCCTTGACCTTTGACCATTGTTCATAAACATCTTTTTCGCAGGAACGTCAGAAAGTTCTTCGAATCACACCAGCGCCACCTCCTCGTTCATCGCCACCACTCTACAGGCAAACCGATTCACCAAAACCATCTGCAAGTGGTGAGCTTCTGCGGGGTTCTTTTTGGAAAAGCGAATGCAATCCTCAGAAGTCTTTTTTTTAGCGGAACCACGGCATCGAAATGCTAGTGTGGCACGGCATCAGTGACCCTCTGTGGAGCAATGGCAATGCCGCCACTGTATTCATTGTCCTCTCTGATGGTTCTTGGAAATTCCTTCCTCTCCTTGCTAAACTGGTGGTTGAATTTAATATACGGAATTCGCCGCCGCACTAAACGACCTACTGGTTCGGCCGCCAGCAGTCGAATCTCTACGGCGATTTTTCTGAAGCACGAAGATGAGAGTTTTCCAACGCCCACAAAAACGGTGCGTATGCGATGAGCTATAGTTTTATTCCCCAAAGATGGACAGTGAACAGCAGTGAACTGTTCCAGCACTGTGGTATTTTCGAAATTTCCTTTACCTGTTTATTTGTCCTAAGTGAATTCTAACGTTTGTGCATATGCAATGTATTTTGTTTCACAACAAAACTTTCGCCCCAGGCGGGACTCGAACCCGCACCTCTCGCTTTCCGGGCAAGTGCGCTACCAGTTACGCTACCGGGGCACCATTTCATTCCAACTCAGCTTTTCATGGTATACTACCATAGCTTGTCAGCACTCACACGTATTTAGTTGAGCCGATTAGCCGATGAAGTAATGAAGCTCTTTTTGTTGTTGTTTCTTCAAAAGTTAATGCATTAAACTGTTGAACTTCATTTTTCAAATCTCCTTCATTCCACATCTTAAATACTTTCTTTCGAAAATATTAAATATCAGTATCGCTCAGCATCTTGTTGTGGCAACCCGGCAGCTTCAGTAAACTGGGCAACCTACAAAATATCAATTGAAGCAATCCGCGGTGATACATACATACTGGCTACTTCGGCTGTATGACTCCACAGTTTAACCAGTTTCACTAAACCAACCGTGCAGGCTCAAGCGTTGCGCCAATGAATGCCTTGAGATACATATATCAACACCCTAGTGTAAAGTCAACCGTCCATTCGTACTATTCGAATGGGGATGGATGCTCATGGAGTGAGGTCACAAACCCGGGGAGTACAAACAAGGGGCCCACAGCGGAAATCACTACGGTATGATCATCACTAGTAGGTAAATGGGAGAAGAATACGTTAGAAGAGAACATGAAATTGTTAAAAATGACATGAAAGTTTTTCAACGAAGCAGTTTACTACTTCCACTGATCGACGGGGCACGAACTTGCTAGAGGCTAAGCAGCAATTCTATGCGGTCTAAGGAATCTGGAACACTTCCCTTGTAGGCTTAATCTTGCATTACAGGGTCGGGAAAAATTACGGTAACAAGGGGTTGCTGTCAATTTCCAATTTCAAACACCAACAGTTTCTGATGTATCCTATGCATTTGTTTTGATAGCTCAGTGTTCTTTCTTTGATTTCGTCACATAAAATATATCCACTCCGGGATGGACAGTGTTTTAACTCCTTGAGAAACAATCACTACTTAGCTCCGACGAACTGTTTGATTGTGTTGCACTGCATGAGGGTTCAGAAGCTCTTTGAAACCTTCATCGGCCACCATTACGAAGTTCAATAGGCTAGTTACCAGCGCCAATAGGCCTGGACCTCAGAGGATTGTTTCTGCGACTTCACGAGTAATATCTCGAAGATACGTGCGAACAAGCGCTGGAAGCTAGCTGGTTCATTCCGTCGTTTTGTCGCTGAAACTGCTATCTAGCGCACTTCCTTGCAACGATTTGTTCACACACGTCTTAACAAAAAGGATTACAATCATGAAAATGCTTAACATACAACCGATTCGGGAAAATTGAATAGAAAGCAAAGATGCTACAAGTCACTGTACGGATTCCGTCATGAGCTTTATTTATCGATCGCTTCCCTTAGTGGGAAGATGGTCTGCTGTCTGGCCACTCTGGAATAAAAAGGGCAACTGGACCAATGCTAGTGAAATGCCATTCAGCCACTCAGTGATGGCTTTCGCAGAAATCACAAGAGCAGAAATCACGATTCGAAGACACATCGGACCTCTGCTGCTCAAGATAGAAAACTGGATAGTAAAAATCGAACTCCTTCTACCTCGGCTGATGCTTCATACCGTAAGGACCTTCAATGGGAAACACAGGGCATCAGAGCAATATTGGGCGCCCATTCACAATGCAGAAATTGCCCAAAAATCGACGCAACCCGATTGTCTTGGAAATCATCATACTGGGGAAGCGGCAACATAGCTCTCCCAACGCTAGTCCTACCACAATTTCTGTATTGAGTGTGCCGAAGGCATTGCTATAAGCATAATAGGAGCATCGACTGTTCGAGCAGTCGCTCCTGAAAGCCTTGGACATACTTTACCACACCGACCTACACAACAGGGTAAGTGACTTAGTAGGGAATCTTCGTTTATTTCTCAACGCAGAAAGCGGTCACTTCAAAGGGCAATATTGCTTTCTGTTTGATAATCTTCCACCAACATGATTGTAATTTTAATTTGGGACTTCTCGACCACATTGCTTTTTTATTACCGTTTTACTTTGTTACCGTAATTTTTGCCCACCCCTGTAGGACACGAAAAGAATGGAAATGGCTGGCTTTCACAGATCGTGGCAAGCAGAAAAGGACTTCCATTTGCCCTGGCAACTCTGAAAGCAGATGCCTGTTAGCGCTTTAGAAGCAGGATTAGTTGACGGTAACTGTTTTGTCGGTTCGTCGAAATAGAAAGTTTGTTCTGAACGGATATCGGTGTATTCAGATTGAATAAAAGGGTAAGAAAACGAGACGATATGAAAGGATTGACTCCTTTTGGCTGGAAATAGAAGTTTTGGAGAAGAGAATGACGAGTTTTCGATTGAGGCTTCTGGAAGATTACTCGGAATTGCGTTGAAACGTACAAATTTTCAATTTCGAAAAGTACCCTCCTCCCTTCAAAACGGACTTTCAAAAAAAATTATGACCATTAAAATCTACAATTCTAGTTAGACGGTGCTCAAAAACTTGGGAGAAAAATATGCGAACGTATGATTTTTCGAGAAACGAAGTCCAAGGAACGATTAGATGCTTTTTAGGAAGGGCGAACCCTGTACTTTCTTGAAATTTTAAAAATTGCCAAAGAAAAGAAGAAAGTTATAGTAATCGAAAAACCCCAAAACCTGCATACGCGTGAAGATTGTGCGAATGGGGAAATTTTTTTTAAAAAGTAAGCGACCACAAAAAGTTGAAGCCCTCAATACTCGTTTCTTTTTTCTCTTATTGAGTTTCTAGATTTTTTCACAGCTATTCAGAAAGTGCATCTGAAACAAGTTATGAACCTTGAATGTTAAAGTGCGCCTTCTTAGAAATTTGTGTTTTTCACTTCGCAGCAGAGCACTTTCTGGCATGTGAGACAATCTTAGCATTTTCCTAGAAGCAGACGTCATTATTATATCAAACATACCTAAATAATAAGAAAATGTATGATTTTAAGAAATATGTGACCCTTTGAAACATCTTCTTCTTACTCTCTTTGCCTAGTGAACGGACCTCTCTTGTCCTAATGCCGTGACGCAATCGCCATCCCTTGAGACCTTTAAATTTCATAATCTAATGCCGATGTTCTTGTTCGCTAACGAAGTGACAAAAATGGTCGCACCTGGAGCACCTGGGTACCTAGGAAGGAAAGGGGATCGCATAGATCAAAAAGTGCGAGTGCGACGATGAACACTGCCCTGGTGACAATGGCTCCTGTCGCGCCGGCATGAACGCCTTGCTCCTCAGAAGCATCGGGTTTACCCTGCCGTTATGTCGGCGTGAGGATACGATCGGTGACTTACGCTGCGCCCGCTCTCGCCACTGTCCACGCGGGGGTAAATACACCAAGCCCCTATGGTTACCGCTGGTTACCCGAACCCATTGACCTACGCCATGCCAAACAACTATGGACTACGGCCATTGCGGCCTACGACGGTGGCCCTTAAACCTAGCCTACGAACGTTTCATATATTTTACACCGAGCTCGAGTATGTGTAAAACAAATACACTGCAGTAGAATCACCGTTTGATGACTTTTTGAGGAACTCAATCAAAACCATAGATTTATCTACTACAAGCAATTACAACGAAGAGACTAATAAACACTCCTGCGAAATAGGAACCACAACCTACGAACTCACGTTTCAAACCCAGTGCTCAGTCCGTCGTAGCGATCCTGTGGTCCATCTCGGACATCCATGCCCGTCCTTCTAAATTGCCCCATCTGCCTGAAGCATGGATACCAGAACAGCGACGTACAACGAACAGCAGGACTGCGACGGAAGAGCGAAGAGCGCAACGACCGGACTCGGCGAGATCGACGTGAAGACTGACTGACTGCGAAGGCACGTGAACTCTGCTTCTCTGTCCTCTTCCCGAACCTTCGATCGGACGAGCGCACTGAGACCCGCGCGCACCCTACCAGGCGCGACCCTTTAAAGTCGTGCGGAAGTCACGACACTGGGGGCGGCGCATGACGAAAGGGGTCCCAGTGGCAGCAGTACTGGATACCACGTCCTTACCTAGTGCGACTACGCACCTACCATACACACATGTTAGTTAACCGTAGAGTCCCTACGGGGCCTAACTACCTACGCTGGGTTCGAGGTTTGTAATTCTTGACGGTGAGCCATGGTCGGTTTTTCCCTACAACTGCAATATGTAAAACTTCAAAAAAATACAATACACACAATGAATCTATGGTGGACGACGATGTGAGGCGAAAAGGCTCGATGAGGCGACAGCTACGTTGCTTTGACTCGATGAGTGCGGCTTCATCTCGGCATAACACAAGGCAGAGATGACATAGGTGACCAACGACGTATGGCGGTGGACTGTTACCAACACCAGAAAATTACTGGGCTTTTTTATGTCTACGTGTGAGTTCGTGGCGAAGTGGTGTAGTGGCGCTTACCACGCGAGCGGTCCGGGGATCAAATCCTGGGTCGTGAGTCGCCCGGGCCAACCAAGCCTTCCATCCCTCCGGGGTCGGTTAATTGGTACCAGACTTGTCTGGGAGGATAAAAACACTGACTTGTACATCGGCTGGCCCCCGCAAGTCATCGCATTCAAACGCCACTACGAATGTACAAATGGAAGTAGAATGC